CTCTTAATCAGGCATATCTCTGTGCACACAGCTCTGCAAAATGAAAAAAAAGTACTGTATCAGTGACTGAATGATCCCACAGTTCTGCAGCTTAACAGGAAGCTGAAACACATTTTCTGGATTTATTTTTCTGGCTCGTCAGAATCACTGGAATAAAAGGGGAGGAGAAACAAACAATATGTTCTGCACACTCTGGCTCTGTGGGTGTGTGAGTGCGTGTGTGTGTCTAAGTGTTTTTGTGCCAAAGATAAGGGGGAAGCTACAGACAAAAGGATGAAATAATAAATCAGCTATTCTCTGTTAGGCTGTTGAATTTATCCAAAACTTCTGCAGAGATGACGACAGATAGAAGGCGAGTGATCAACTCAGTTATCAGGATTGAGAAAGAGAATCAAGGAGACATATGCTTCATGAATCCATGTGTAATTTTGTTGTCATGAGTATGCAGACTCTTTTGTGTGTACTCCTGTTTGCACCAGAAAGAAATGTTGTGGGCATTAATATCATAATCATGATGTGGTGCCCTGTAGTTAAGCTGCCACAGCGTCTTCCTGACTGCGCATTTTTGTTGCACATTTCATTTAAAAAAATTCACCGTCAGCTATTTGCAAGTTAACTTAGCTGACTAAATTAACTTGTTTAGATTCATCAGATTCATCTTTGAGTTTGAGCTACAACCTATAAGCTAAGCATTCAGGTCTGTGAGCAATAGCTAGTGTGACAATAGTATGCTAATGTGGCTAAATAGGGAGCTACGTATACGGGCGCTAATGGTTAGCCTCAGACTCTTCATGTTAAGGCATTACTTCAAAGAACTCACAATCAGCTAAGTAACCAAGTTAAAAGTAATACCTTTGAGTTTGAGCTACAACCTGTTAGCTAAGCATTCAGGTCTATAAGCAATAGCTAGTGTGACAACAGTATGCTAACATGGCTAAAAAGGGGGCTACATATGCAGGCGCTAATGGTTAGCCTCAGACTCTTCATGTTAAGTCATAACTTTAAAACTCACAATCAGCTAAGTAACCAAGTTAAAAGTAATACCTTTGAGTTTGAGCTACAACCTATTAGCTAAGCATTCAGGTCTGTAAGCAACAGCTAGTGTAACAACAGTATGCTAACATGGCTAAATAGGGAGCCAAGTAGGCGCTAACAGTTAGTCTCAGACTTTCTGTGTTAAGGCATAACTTTTAAGACTATATGACTGTAATGTAAAACATGCTATATCTATCTATCTATCACTGGAAAAGCAGCCAAAATATATTCAGATTCAGGGCGGCAGTAGTTCAGGAGGTAGAGCAGTCGTCCAATAACCGGAAGGTTGGCAGTTCGATTCCCCCCTATCCCAAGTCTGTCCATTGTGTCCTTGGGCAAGACACTTAACCCACCTTGCTCCTAGTGTGCGTGTCCTCTACTGGTGTATGATTGTGAGTGTGGTGTGGTGGTGGTCGGAGAGGCCATAGGCGCAAACTGGCAGCCATGTTTCCGTCATTCTGCCCCAGGGCAGCTGTGACTACTAAGGTAGTTTACCACTACCAGGGTGTGACTGTGTGAGTGAATGAATGATGTATTCAATGTCAAGCTCTTTGAGGGTCTCTGATAAAGCGCTATATAAAATCTGATGCATTATTATTATTATTATTATTATTGTTCAATAGTGCGGAAATGGGGGTTTTCTATGTGCCAGCATATGATAAAAAGTTTTTTTTTCCCCGCTGCAAATCATGCAAACCTCTATAGGGGTCCCAGACTTGCATAATAAAATTAAAATGAGTAAAATATATCTCCTTTAAATTAAGCCATTTCAAAACAAATAGTTTGACAGTAATGTAAAATTAGCATGTCATTCTTTATGAACTGCCCACTTTACAACTTACATTTCATGAGGACTGACCTCTTGACCCGAGCTCTCGCTTTCCTTTTTTGGCTTTGGTGCAGAGGAGAATCCTCTCCCTTCCCTCCCCTCCTCCTTCCCTGCATGCAGTCTGAGAGGTCCAGCGCTCACATGGCTGGAGCAGGCGAACACACAGATGTCCTTAATAACATCCCTGCCTCTCAGACACCCTCCTTCACCCAGCTTAGATCTCTTAATCCACGCTTAGCTGTTCTCTTCTCTGCCCTGACTTCTCTCACAGTCCCTGCCACCAAATCAGAAATACATCACATTTGACTCAACCTTCCCCCAGTTTTGAGTTGAAACAGCAGCTGTGCAGGGGGTCGGTGGAGGTCAAGTGGAAGAAATCAGGCTAAGAAAGCTGGGGAAATGAGCAAAGTGGTTTAGATTGCTGCAAATTTAAGGAAATATTGGTCAATATAGAAAATTAGATTGAGTTTTCTCCAAATCGAATCACTTATATTCAAGAATCTCTGCTAATATGTACACTGTGGGTGTTCTTTCTCTGAATTCCTGGCACTGGATGGTGGTTTCTTTTAACAAACATCATCCTCTCACTTTGCCCTGTCCCTGCACAAACACCTTCCTCTCTCAAGGCTGTTATCCGGCTTTAGGGGGCCAGCTGAGAGACCATATGGACAGTGAACAGTGAGATCAGGAGTGCAAGATGCAGCAACACCTGGAGGGATAAAACAACTTTCTTTCCATCTGGATCCTTGTAAAGTCCTCTTCAGTTTCTACTTGTTATCCACCTGATTAGTAAATAAAATACGTCAGTAACAGTGTATGAGTTAGCCATGATTGCAGACTGGCTGAAGGAAAGGAAATGCTGGTTGGGTTACTCAACAGTCTAGTCCAGTCTGAAATGTCTCAACAACTATTGGATTGATCAAAATGCAATTTTGTACATTTGTGCCCCAAAGGTATGAATTCTCATAAATTTGTTGATCCCTCGACTTTACCTCTTGTGCCAACAGAAGGTTGGCAATCTCTTTTTAAAGCCTCTGGAATCTTGGCTTGAAATGGTAAAAAAGATTTTGAAGTAGAGAATCTCATACAGACACAAAAGCACTGATAATAGCCGAGTGGGAGAGGATGCTCATTGTACGGTTTCAGATTATTGAAGTCTGTGCACGTGTGGCTCAGTGTGTTCTGATTGATATGCCATGCACAGAAAATTAGTGCATGTGACAATCAATAGTATCTGAGTCAGAGGTCTTGTGGTCCACTGGTTTTCAAAGATTTAATGTAAGTAGTGACCTGACACATGGCGAGAAAGATAAATCTAACAGATAGTTTGTGGAGCACAACACTGTGGCTAAAACAACACACCACAAGCTTCTACTCTACCAAGAACCACGGGTCATGATTTTAAAAACTTTAAATCTCTCATGATAAAGTGTGATGGTACTGTACAGAAACAACAATGCTTAAATAGCTGCTTAGCTATCTGCTACATCTATTGTGGTAGCAGTTTCTGTTTATCTCCTCTCCCAGTCTGTTTTACAGCAAGTGTTGCGATCATAGACTGTATGTACTATGGACAACTTGGTGCAGCCTTCTGCCAGTATACGGATTTGAAGCCGTAAAGCTCTTGGTATTTCTACGTTTTTCCCCCGTTTCCGGAAACCAACATTGCACAGTAGTGTGTTACGCATTCGGCGGGAGAGTCGCTGTGATGACGCTTAGCTCAAACAGCATATCCCCTGGGTGAGCTACGCAATCTTTTTACGCCCATAGGCTGTATCAGGTGTCAATCATAGAAACATGAACCTCCTAATAACTTTTAAAATGAAGCTGTACAGAAAAAAGAGGACTTGAGAACAAACTAGTCTTACAGTAAGTACATGTCAACATCACAAGCAGCGGGGAAAAAAATATATTCTGTGTAATAAGTTTCTAAAGTTTGTCCACTGCTCCATAAAGATGGCTGGAGGAGGCGGGATTTATGGCCTATATTGCAGCCCGTCACTAGAGGGTGCTGTTCTCGGGGTGGCTTCACCCAGGGAGGAGGCAGATGGCGTCCATTCTATATACAGTCTACGGTTGCAATGCATTCCCCAATCATTAAGTTGTCCCTCAATTTTTGATGTCTATTTTAGCCTTTCTTTTACCATAGCTGAGTTAGCTGCACTCTCTTCTTCAGTCAATCCGCTCCTCGTGACAGTCTAGAGTACGGGCTGTCCCTGTGGTCCCCAGGATGTCTAATTGTTTGTTGTTTGTTGAGCATTTTCATCAGTCACGATTTCAAATGCCTGAAAATTGGCAAATCCAGAAAGAGAAATCATTCATGACAGGAAATTTTGGCAAAAAATTCTTGATTCCATTTTTTAGGTCAGTAGATGATGAGCTAAAAATGTCTCACCATCTCAAAAATATTCAGCAGTTGTTTGCAAGATTGGCTGACATACCATTGGTTGTTCTCAGAGCTATGAATGCCATAATGAAGTAATGTGTAGGCCTGTGCTCCTTTGTTACCCAGTGATGCTTGATTTCCTCCAGCTAAAGTAGATTGTCCACATAAAGCCGTAGTCGTCAATAATCAGCTTCAGCCCTCATTACTCAGCTCGCAGACCGTGCTAAAGCTGGGTGCTTTGTGGCTTTTCTACACTATTAGACAGCAGAACCAACTGAATAACTTTTACAACACTTTTATGTGCATAATAAAAAGCCGTTACTGGGACCGTGTTGCATCAAGAGTAACTCTGCTATATAGATTTTTATTCGGATTGAGTGTGTGCTGCACAGACTGATTGATTGCATATGTTTGTGTGCGTAAGCGTGTGTTTGAAGAGGATAAAGAAAGACAGTTGAAGTAACCCACACCTTAAAAAAATCACTCTTTCAATGTTTTCTAGCAGCTCTGCAGCTTTGCCCTCTCATATTTCTCTTTTGAGTGCTCTCTTTTACTCGTTGTCTTTTGTCTTTTGGAGTTGTTCCCAGCCATCGAGTCCACACATCACTTTGCTTTCTTTACTTTTCATTTCATTCCCCTTGTGGAGCTTACTATCACCTTTCTGGGTACCCCGCATCTCCTTTCCCTGCCACTCTCAGCCCTGGATAATAGGCTGATCCTTGGTATGACGCACATTGGGCCGTCTCCTGAGGGGCTTTTGCGCACACATGCATTCATAAAGGCTCTGTGCAGCCTGGTATGCAGATACAGGCAGAGCTCAGGTATTTACATCTTGAGATAAGTGACACCACACGATTATTGAAACAGTAACTGCACTGATAATACAATACACAGTACATTCTTGAGCAGAAAAGCCCTTTGTAACTGTGATGAATGGAGTGTGTACAGATTGATTACTGAATAGCCGAAAGGTATCAGTGGTGTCGAATGGTCCTGTTTGTGAAGATTGACTTCAAGTGGCTATGAGTCTCAGGTTTCATTAACCTGTTCATTTTTAATTACACAATTAGTGGTGATAAACAGACGAATAAAAATAATCATGGCAGTTTTTCAAGTCCAGTTCGTACCTTCCTACGCTGTATATGGTTTAAGTCAGTTTGAATGGAAGCAGAAAGAAAACAATAAGTTCCATGTAATAGAAGTTAGCTAAAACAGGTGCATACACAAACCTGGCCTACAAATTTTCAGCAAGGGATTTGATTACATTCAGGCTTACCAGTTTTACAGATTAAAATCAGTCTGTAGATTGTTCCAAAAGAAAACTTTCATTCCCACCTCAGTTTGGACTTTAGGAAAGACACGATATCTATCAAATAAAAATAGTGAGTTCTATCCTTCAAGGTAAAAAGGGAGGAAACATAAACACAGGATCGTCACCTGATCAAGATCAAAAATCTGTGGTTTAGCTTACCACAGTGCAGCTCGCCTGGCTTTGTACAAGGTTACAACTTTCTCCGACAGGCTTTTCTAAATCTTACATAAGAGCCTGCTTAATTTTGTTCCATGATTTTATCAAACAATTTCTCATAAATTAAGAATTTTCCAGTCTTTTGGCACTAAACTGCCGCGTCAAAAAAAAAAAGCATCTGATCAATCAATTGATCGTTTGTTTGTCTAAAGGATCACAACCTTTTAAATACAAGCCACCTCTGTTTCCAGTTTTCATGACAAATTTGATATTTTAACAGTCCAAACTTTATTCTATATCTCTGAATATCTTAAATCAATGAGCAGTTGTCAGTGATAAGCATCACTTATACGGGAATTCGAACAACAAACCCTTTTCAGCACCAAGGGGAAAAAACAGTGTGAAAGAGAGTCTGTAAGGCCCTCATCACTGAAATTGTTTGTTTGAGGAGGGCTGCTGCTGGACCTCCTGGATGATGCCCTGACGCACAAGCTCACGAGGATGGCCCCGCCTGCCAAAGTCAACAGGCACAGAAAGACTAGCGCTAATTACCAAGGAGAAGGGTAGCCCTGTCCTCCACAGGACACAATAACAGCAAATGATCAGACAAAGGAGCTTTTCAGAAAGTGTTGTAGCCTGTAGATGCAAAATAAACCAACGAATGGAGGTCAAGTGAATGGAGCAGCAACTCCAGGTAGTCGTCCAGTCCTACTTGTTAATAAGAAAATAAAAAAACAAGCAGTGTATCTCCTAATGTTTAAAGACAGGACTCCTTTTGACTAAAAGTCTTTTTGCTACAACCATAGAGAGGGAAGTATCACGTTTAAACCAGCATGATTACCTCATATCAGCCCTGAAATGAAACGCTTTGACTGAGGGCTTTAGTTTGCTAATGTGTAGCAAATAAGCCGCTGAAGAGTGTTCCCGTGTAATTATGAAAGCCTGCTGAAGTACAAGCTGTAACAAAGATTGGACACAGATTCAGAGGGCAGCTATTGAAATCCGGTGGAGGGAGCGGAGGGGGAGTGAAGCGAGGCAAACTGAAGGATATGAGACCTCAGCATTAGTGTTGTCATGCATGAATACCAGTTTTCATTGATTATTTCAAGCTAATGAAGAATAGGATACTTTTATTAGGCATTAAAGATACAGGTGATGGGTACACATTATTATATATTTTACATTATTAGAACCCCTTTAAATAAAAATAAACAAAACAAAACCATCTTCAGAGTCTTTCTGCTGTCAACGCTCGAGTCAGTTGGGTTACAAGTCCTGAAACTTTGGGCTTGAGTCATAAGTGGAAACAGTGAAACAGTTGTATTATTGATAGGGCAGAGAGAAAGACCAGACACTGAACTCTGTGTCTAGACGAGAAAGCAGCTTCGTTCAATATCAGAAGGTAACATCCAAATGATTCTGCAAAAACATGACAGAGCATGAGGGGTGTCAGGTGTAATTTTTTTGTGGATCCCAGCTGGAGGAAACTGTACACAGCTGCACATGAACATCCTTGCCTTGCCTGATTTGGCTCCAAGCTACCCTGGTTGCTACCTCACAGGTCTCCTGAGCTGCAGAGATGTTCGTGCCTCACATCCCAAGAGTTCACTGTGTATTCTTCTTCATCCCAGGTGTCAGAGTCACGAATAGCCTCACTCACACTGCAGCCCTTTTTAGCTGCAGTATAAGTGAAAAAAAAATAGTATTAATTTTAGGTTATTTGTCACCTGAACTAATTTCAATGTTACTCCAAATAAAAATCAACAAACTTTAAGACACTTCAGTGTCTTTGCTCCCTGTAAGTTTGACAATTCCAGCTTCCTAGTGGTCTGAATCAAATACATTCTGGTGAAAAGGACATTCATACACAGCTCAATACATAAATCATTTCTATTAGCATGAAATTTTCTGTCCCATTGTGATCCTAACCTTGAAATCTACATTATGATAATCTTAATGTCTACTGCCTGAATAAAGAAGCCGAGGGACATTTGAATTTAATTAGATCTGCTGGACATTCATAATAACGTGACTTCAGTTTGAGTAAATATTAAAGGGATTACATCTCTCATTATCTTTGAGACTTGCACTCCTGGTATTGTTTATATTCTCATTGAAGCAGCAAGTTTAAGTATCGGGGAGTAAATGCCTCCACATGCTTACTTAAACAAACAGCATGTCCATGAGTGAATGGGTGACTCATTACATCCTGTCACACAGAGAGTACCACAGGATATCGTTAGTCATCCTTTCTTGTCACTCCGCATGGTAATGGTGTGATGTCTGGAGTCTAAATATCTACTGTAAGAAAGAAAAAGTCCCCTCGAGTTTACCTATATGCACCCACATTTGATAAAAGGCCAGCTCAGGCCTAAGAATAAGACGAATGACGTGTTTGACTTTTGCGTTGTGGTTGTTTGTGGTTGCAGACTCACTGTGCAATGGAACGTGCCTGATAACTCACCTGTTTTCTGTAAACAGTATTACTCTTGGAGACTGTTTAACCTTCGATGTCTCTATTTCTTTAGTCTGATAGCTGGGAGAACAACAGATTTTTCTCCAGCTCACAGGAAAAAAAATTCAACCTTCACAGCATCTCTGTGGACTGTAACAACACAATATAGGCAATTAATTCTGCTTCGAATGCACACAGGAAACATGTGGACGATATCGCTGTACTGATGCATGAAACAGCAGTATTGTGTGTTTTTGTGTGTGTGTATCTTTGTGTTCAGCTAGTGAGGGAGAGGGAAGTTCTCTGGAATAGTAGAAGCAGTACTCGTAAATTTATTTCCAAGAATTTTCCTGTGACGCTGACGTGAGTTTTATATAGTTTGGCTCACATTTAACATTTTTTCAACACTCACTAAGATTTGGGAAAATCAACAAATTCGCAGTGTATTATTGCCCTCCACAAATAATGATCACCTCTTGTGTAATGAGAAGCCTTGTCCCTATTGGGCAGCAATAAAATAAGCCTGGAAACAAACTCGAAAATAGTTTTATTCTGGCCGTGACAACGACTTTTAGCGTCTGGAATTAGTCATATTTGGACAATGATAAAAAAGTCAAACAAGAATACTTTATGACATTCGGCCTGGGAAAGTTCCTTGAAAGGAAGAATAGAGAGGTCAGCCTCTGCACATGCTACTGTTTGTCTTGAACAGGAGTCACCCGGCATGCTCATGAGATCTGACTCAGTTTATATAATCGTGTCGGTGTTGCCCACACTCAGGAAATACAACAAATACAACATGTGAGTGGGACAGACATTCAAATGACACAAGGGACGTTTGGTTATGAAAACAGTTGCATGAGACGCTGAGTGGGTTGTGTGGTTTTGTTGTAAGTGTGCATCAAAATATTGCATGACCTTTCAGCAGGGACATTTTACATGTAGTTTGCATTCATTTAACATTTTAGACTGTGGGAGGGGAGGACCCGTTCCTCTACCAAGGCTGGTGTTTGGTATTTACTCTCACTCTAAATGACTTTATCCTATGCACACTTTGAAATGCTACTGTAGTTCTCCCTCTGACACATGCAGAAGTTGTTTGGTTGTGTGTTTCCTGCCAAACTTTTGGCAGAGCAGATATGTCAAGTCACTTTTTCCCCAACACCTTACTTCTGTTTCTAACTTTCCCTCAACTTTACTCAGTGACACTTTTGATAACAACTATATATCCCTATAACACATTTCTAAGAATTGATAGTATTTTGTAGTAGTTAAGTGTCAGACAAAAATAATATAACATTTTATTAACCATACCTTTAAAAGGCATCAAGCTAACTGCATAACTCTTAAAAAATATTGCTTTAAACTGTTGTGAAAGCTTGTGATTTTTCATAAACATTGTCATAAAGCCTGCATACATAAATGTGCTAATAATCCATTAGAAGGGCAGTTTCTCAAAAAGTGATACCCTTTATTTTTTATGAAATTTATTTGTGTAGTTTGGTGTCATTGTGAGGGAAAGTCACTCACATAACCTCTTAAATCCTGGTTCTTATCAGTCACATACAGCAGGTTGAAGAAAAACATGGCTGTGTCCTTCACTCCACAACATTTGAGCTAGCTTTGAAAACAGTAATTTGAGGAAGATAATATTTCCTGTATTCACTTGTGCACTTTGTCTTGCACTGACCCTGTCTCCCTTTGTCACACAACTCTTTTTAAACGTCTTTCTTTGGTAACACTCACATCTCCTTTTTTTGTCTCTTCTGCTTTTTTCCCCCTCAAACTGTGCCACCCCCCTTTTCTCGTTTCACAGGCTTTGTGGTGGATTGTTTTACCTGCAATATCAGATGAAACTAGGGCAGAACAGGCTGCTAACCCCAACACTCAAAATAAAAATTGGAGGCCAAGTATGTGTTGCAAATAATCTGGACCTTATCTTTCACACTTGAAACTCCAGACCTGGTCCTTCAGCACCCATTCTAATGCAAAACAAACCATTAGTTATTTAGGTTGGATAATAAAGCACATTTACTGATGCATTACACACACCACTGCAGGCTTAATTGCTATTTGAGAGCAAAAACTTTTAATATTTCACATTATTTCAACAGAATCCATTAGCACAGGTCTACATTATGTAAAGAACAGAAACTCACTCTTGTTTTTTTAAACACAGGGCTGATAACAATACAAAAACATTTTCTCAAATGGATGTATGATTGGTTTTAAAATAAATGGGTTACAAGAAGGGCTGGGCGATAAAACGATAACAATATATATCGAAAATTAATTTCCCTCAATATCAATATAAAACATGGTTAACATGCTTTTCGATAGTCGACATTCTGCCATGCTTTGGTAGACTATACAAATAGCCAATGAAAAGGGAAGTTGCTCCGGGTTTGCTTTGCACTGAACCAATCGTGCTGAATTTAGGGATGGAAATCGGGAACCGGTTCTTGTTGAGAATCATGGACAACACTGGCATAAAAACATTGGTAGTGTGGAGGTATTTTGGTTTTTTGAAGTTGGACATGAAGCAGAGTAATGTGCACTGCAAATTATGTAGAGTACATGTTTTTCACAAAGTTGTGAAATACCGCAAATCTTTTTCACCACCTGAAGCAGTCCCACGCAGCAGAGCACGTACAATGCAAAAGGTTACAAACCCCGAGCGGAGCAAGGAGCCCATGGCACCTGTGTAGCCAAAACAACTGACCATTCAGTACGCTTTCTCTAGCACAACGCCTAACGACAAAACGGCGAAGAGACACAAGGACCTCACAGATGCATTAGCTTATTGTATTGCAAAAGACATGCTGCCAATAAGCACTGTTAAATTTCATTTTTGTGTATCGTGATATATATCGACTGAAATAGAAAAAATATATCATAAACTTTTTCCCATATCGCCCAGCCGTAATTACAAGCCAGATTGGTCAGAATAGAAAAATTGCATTTGCTTATATATTCGCAGTTTAATATTATTCTTTGTACTTTTCAAGGACTGTGCATTTAAAGAAGGTGCCATAATAAAGTGGGAAAGATTAGCAGAAAAGAGTAAGTGTGAATATTGCACTTTTTGCAGCAGGTCCAAAGAAAAAAAAAACGATAGGATACTTTATCATAACTGCGTGCTTGTAGTCTTTTACTTTGGGCCCATTTCAGTTTGCATCACATGAACTCAACAAGTAAAGCAGAAAAAACTCACAGGCTGTAGGAAACAATAACAATCTGATTGTCAACAGTTGCTTCCTGTTTCTGTTTCTGCTAAAGGCGCGCGCGTAGCCGGGCTGTGAGAAACAGACAGAGAACAAGGCAGCCCGCGAGCTCCAGCCCGACTGAGGGAAACATCACGTGGTGACACATCTCCACGACTGACGTCACCGTCCCCATCTCTAAGCAACCCCTCCATCAGCACTCACGTCACCATGCGCCCGAGCCGCGCGGTTGCTCAGCAACCCGTGCCTTGCGCTCGGGTCCGGCCTTGCCTTGCACCCAGCTCGGAGCTCTGACGCGGGTGTGACGTTAATAAGGTGGGTATCAATTTGTTATGGTGGTTGAGGGAGGGAACAGAGGAAAGGAGGAGGAGGAGTTCCCCCTGTGAGTGCCGAAACCTTGCTCTGCATTCCGGCGGAGCGCACAAGCACACACCGGCCGCAGCCCAGTCCCGGGCCAAAAGACTAGTCCTGTAAACTCAAACTAAAGACGGCAGGAAAAAAAAAGTTTCTCCGCGCGGGTTTTTTGTACAATTTCTGCTGTATTTTCTTGTTTTTTCTTCGCTCTGTCTGTGGAATGCTTTACTTTTCCAGTGAGAGCTTTCTGAACTGTGAGAGAAGGAGGTTTATGTCCGCTCTTTGAGGTAAGACGAGACAGCTCTCTCCATTTTTATTCTCTGATTTCACAGCCTCATATTTCATTTACCACCATTTTCCAACTGTCCAGACGCAGGCCTAGTTTTCATTTTTAATAGATATACCAAGTTATCCCCCTCTTCACTGTCCGTTTACTCGATTTATCAGTCAATAAGAAGCTACGTTTGGAATAATTGAATTTCGTCAATGGTGTTAACACATTTAGCACATGTAGTCTATCAGTTTAAGGTCTCATGGGGAATTAGATCACCTAAACTTATACCAATAAATTTAATTATTAAATAAACGACAGCACCTCTCTCAGTGTAAGCTTGTAACGCAGTACTATGGTCTACTTTCTCACGACTTTTCCTCACTTGTGTTTTCCACTGCTGCACCCAAAGGCTATGTGAAGCGGTGGAAGTACTATTCATATTGAAATGAAGTGTGAAATGATCAGATTCCTTTGGGAAACCATGCAAACATAAGATGAAAGTCAATGTTTGGATCATGCAAAACCATTTCTTTTTGCAGAGTTAAATAAAGACAGCATATATTACTCTATATTTTCTTGTTTTATCTATTGCAGTTCTGTCATTTAAGCTAGTGTGAGGTCCATCATTTCATTTTAAGATAATAAACCATCAAATCATATTTTATAAGCTTTTTTATGATTGATAGGGTACATGCGAAACAAAAAAAAAAAAAAAGGTGTATAGTGTCAGATGAATGAAGTGGGGGAATACATGTTTTCTCTCTGAATTGTATAGGAGTTTAATTTACATAATAGGAAAAATTAGGTTATTGTATGTAGTGATTTTCTTACACTAAAGATAGGCCTTCATATTCATTTTTTCTGATTTTCTTGTTTTTAAGGTGAATTAGATGGAAGTAGTATATGTCAAATTTATGTGAGCCTGCTAGTATTCGGTGTATTCAATGCAATGGTTTCATTTGCTCTGCAGGTATCAGCCTTAAGTATCCCAGTGCTGTAACTCCAGACTGTTGGTGCACCATGGTGATCATGACCGAGAACAGCCGGGGGGCTCAGTCTAGCCCTGCCCAGGGCCGGCCACTGCAGGTCGGCTTCTACGAGATCATCCGCACCCTGGGCAAAGGCAACTTTGCTGTGGTGAAACTGGCAAAACACAAAGTCACTAAAACACAGGTCGGCACCACTCCTCCCTGTCAATAGTATTACTTCATTTGGGATTTCAAAATAGCAATTTCTTCGTGATTATCATTCTTTAAAAGTTGCAAATGGTCCTTTGTGTTGCAGGTGGCTATTAAAATCATCGACAAGACCAGACTAAACCCTTCCAACCTGGAGAAAATTTACCGAGAAGTGCAGATCATGAAGCTGCTGAACCACCCCCACATCATCAAGCTGTACCAGGTGTGTGTTATCTGTCACCTCTCTGCAATGTTGCTGCTGGCCATGCATGTGTTTGTATGTGTGCAGAATGACATGTGTGCGCACGATGCTGTGTGTTTGTCTGGAGTGAAGCACTGGAGTAAAATTTGCAGTGTGAAACTCTGCAAAACGGGAACATATTTTTTCCCCCATTAGTGTTGAGGTGCGGGGAACTGTGCCTCATTACTGTTGACATGCGGCTACAGCCATTATGTGTGGCAAAAATAAGGGACATTTAGCTTTTAAGTGGTTTGTGTTGGTTTGTGGTGAGCTGCTGACTCCTGGAGCACATTGAATCATGAGTACAGCACAACAGCATTAGTGAAATCCCTTTTGACCTCCTTCTGTATGTGTCTGCATGTTGTGTACGGGGATTGGTGAGAATATTCACTTGTTCTGGTCAGCGTCAGAGCTGAAGTGTGTTTAATATTTTTAAAGTTATGACGGTAAAAGTGACTGTAGAGACGTGGGAAGCAGAGGATGGCGTAGGGAAAGACGTCCACAGGTCTGAACACTAAGCCTGATTAGCGTCTGTTCAAGCCAAGTGCAATGTGTCTGTGCGTCACGTGAAGGCCACCCCACAAAGCGCTGCTTTACTCCTAATCAAATTGAAGACTTAGCAGAAAGAATCGGCTTTCTTCCTCTCAGCTGGCCTTCGTAGTGCCGTGGCACGCGTCTGGCAACAAACACACAAACACACACCCACGCTAACAAACACACTATGCCCTTTCTTTTTCTCCCACCGCGGCCTTTTTCTGCTCTTTTGTTTTACTCTGTTGTTTTAATACCTTAGAGGTTTACTTCATGTTTTCCAGTTTAAAGCAACCGAACAGTGTTTACGGTGAAATCACCAATGATTGCAAAAACTCAGGGTGAGATACTATTTCTTGGAAACCTAAGCAGCGTTTCCCATCAGACACAATGGTGCTTAGTAACTCTGACACAACCGAGTTTCAGTTTCACTTGGAGATAAAATATCAAGTCTATTTAACCGTTTGGTGACGGTTCTTATTCTGATAAAGATGTTTTGTGTGTTAATTACAGTAAGACAGATTAATAAACAGATCTTGAGTCATTTTGAAACATGAAGTATGGGACTAAAACACGTCTTTCTATTCTCAATTTTAGATTTGACTTAAATATCATCTTAAACTTTGGAAATATCCTACCTATCAGAACCTCTTATCGAGGTTTACACCCTTGTTAGAACAGGTGGAAATGTAGATGATGTTACATTTGATGCTAAATTTAACAAGATTAGTTTTTAAAGTATACCAATTGTTGTATTGTATTGTTGGTTGTACCTTTTTCTATTAGACATAAAAAGGTTAACAATGATGTCATGTTTCCTTCATGTGATGAATCTTGAGTTGTGTGAGGTAAAGCTCGTCAGATGGTTGTTACTCAATAATGTGGAGTAATGCTCTTCACCCTCTTTTCTCTGAACAAAGGGAGGATAGTGGCATAAGACCGTCTTGTGATTCAAAGGATACGTTCCCTGACCTTCTGCTTTATGAATCAGCTGCTGCTTTTATTCGTGGGAGCATACGTGTTTTTTGTCTCTCTTGTCGTGGATCAGAGTCCTCTCTTTGACCTTGTATCAATCACACTCTCCCCCCTCTCATCCCTCTTAAACCCCACTCTCCCACTGGTGGGGCAGTCAGCAAAACATCCTCTTATCTGCTCGGCTGTGAAGACTAGATTTGTTCAAACCTCCAGGGGTGTTTTTAAAATTTTATTTGGGATCCAGAGTATCCAAGGTTGCTTCTCTTTTCTAGCTTAGCTGTGAGTTATTAGCGTATGATAATGAAAAAATTACACTTATAAAGGATGCAGCATTTGTAATCTAGAGTTCACTTATCATTCATTCATTTTACTCTACTAAAGCTACTTTGATGTAAATAAAAAGAAAAATTTATGGATGTTGAGAGGTTAATTTTCCATCTGAGGGTCCATGACGCGCGGTGTCTGTTCTTCAGAGCAGTGACGTCAGCTGCACCTCAAGGTGACAGAGCCCCAGAGAGCTGCTCTAACTCACAGATAAGCTACTCATGGCTCAAAGGCATCTGTGTATTGAATCACCCTTTGCTTGGTACATTAAAAGGGGACAAAAAGAAACACAAACTCCAACTATTCAGTGGAATTTGATAGCATTCAATCCCAAGTTGGCCTGCAGTGTAACCCACACATGGCTTTGTCATGAGATGAAAATTGCTTTGTTGTGCAACCTTTCGGCTCAGCTGACCTGTCCCTTAGGGCTCTCTTGGGATATGGAGGCCTTCTGTGAGCTCCAGGAAAAGACTGGGAATTGCGTCTTTCCGGCCAGCATAGTGCACTGGGTGAAGAGGGATTGTACTTGCGGTGGTTTGGATAGACAAGGCGGGACCCATGTAAACAGCTCATGTGAATTGGTCTCTCTGTTTCCTAGAACTAATCAGATAGGGGCAGCTTGAAATTCAACTCGAGCATCCTTTGCCAACTAGTGTTAGCCTTCGGGGAAATATTTCTAACAAGTTTATGTCCGTTTGTTAAGTGCGTAATCTGGTTTTGAAAAATGACATAATGCAAGTCATGGACAACTTTCTTATGTAACCGAACATCTCATGGAAAGGCAGGGCGGTGACGTTCGATGAATATGGAAAAATACATGTAGAAGTTTTCAGAAGGGGATTTTTGTGGGTAGAAAATGTCAAATGCCGAGAGATGTCTGAGTAGGGCTACTCTTAAGTGTTTTTCATGGCTCTTTGGTTAAACTGTCTTTTTTTTTTGTCTTGTTTTTTCCACTTAGGTCATGGAGACCAAAGATATGCTGTACATCGTAACCGAGTATGCAAAGAATGGAGAAATGTTCGGTGAGTTCTTCTTCTTCATTATTTGTAACTTTAATAGATAGAAAAGCACAATATTTCCTTTTGAATGAAGCTAAATATCCTGTCTCCCTCTAGACCACCTGACTTCAAATGGCCGTTTGAGTGAAGACGAGGCACGAAAGAAATTTTGGCAGATTCTCACAGCCGTGGACTATTGCCATCGACACCACATCGTTCACCGTGACCTGAAAACTGAGAATCTCTTACTGGATGCCAATATGAATATCAAACTGGCTGGTAAGTCTGCCACATACTGTGTTCTGTTAAATGGAGGCTGTTTTTCTGCTGGCAGAAAGGCGTGTTTATTTGTTTTAATGAGGATTCAACATTTCAAACCTGATACTGTCTGTCTGCACTTTCCTGCTGGTTTTATACTCAGAGATAGAAAGAATTTGCCGCTTCTTTAAGCACTGGAAATTAATACTTTAACGAACTCTCCAGCCAATGAAGTGCAAGTAAAATCCAGGATTTAATGCAGAGCAGACAGTGTTGCATGGAAATATCTTAAAACCTAAAAAACACTACTCTTTAGTGAGAGGGCGATGTATCCATGTTAGCTTGATATCTTCAACAAACACCATACATCAGGATTAACCAAAGACAACACATTTACATTCCTGAGCCATGAGCTCCTCCTGTTTGTTCCAACGTTATAAAGACAGCAAACACTGCACTGCTGGAATAACACAGACCTCGTCTGCCTTTGTTTGTGTCTCACAGACTTTGGATTTGGAAACTTCTACAATGCCGGGGAGCCTCTGTCTACATGGTGTGGCAGCCCGCCTTATGCTGCCCCTGAAGTCTTTGAAGGAAAAGAGTATGAGGGGCCTCAGCTAGACATTTGGGTAAGCCAATGAAATGAGCATCAACAGCATGAATTCATCAGTCAGGTATTATTTCTGCTAATGCTAATGTTCTCCATTTTCCTCTTTTCCTCACAGAGTCTCGGTGTTGTGCTTTATGTCCTTGTTTGTGGCTCTCTTCCATTTGATGGGCCCAGCCTTCCTGCACTAAGACAAAGAGTCACAGAGGGACGATTCAGAATCCCCTTCTTCATGTCCCAAGGTACAACACCAACAAAATACAGACAGCAGTGATTCAAAATTCATTTATAAATCTAAAGCACATCAAAACAAAAAAACTCAATCCTTGTTTCAATCTTCTAGACTGTGAAAACCTGATCCGTAAGATGCTGGTTGTGGACCCAGCCAAGAGGATCAGCGTGGCACAGATCAAGCAGCACCGCTGGATGCTGGCAGACCCGACAGCCGCCCACCAGACCCTCAGCCACTCTCTGACTGACTACAACTCAAACCTGGGGGACTACAGTGAACCTGTTCTGGGCATCATGAACACACTGGGCATCGATCGCCAGAGGACTATCGAGGTAACAGACTTTGACATCTCACATTTCAGGAGGCTTGTTGTGTTTAAAGATTTAAGATAGTCAAATATGTCTATAACCTCATACATCTTCTGTACTTGTATACTTTCAATTATAAGGGATGAATGGGTTAACCCAATGTTATGACGAATATGGATAAAAGATGGCATTAAGAACCACAGACTGTAAACAAATCAGCAGCACCACTAATCTGCTGTCTGTTCCCACAGTCTCTGCAGAGCAGCAGCTACAATCACTTCTCCGCCATCTATTACCTGCTGCTGGAGAGAGTGAGGGAACATCGCGCCCAGCAGCTGAGCCGCCAGTGTGGAACCTGGAGCCAAAGACCCAGGAGCACCTCTGACTCCACAGGCCCTGAAGTGAGTTCTCTACCTGGATTTAATGAGCTTAATCTGTACTTGATCTCCCTACCTGATCTGACCTGCAGCAGCGTGTATGTAAAGTCTTAAAACGTTCTGTGCTTTTGCCTCTAGGTGATTATGGAGTCCACTGATGGCTTTACAACCGCAGCGTTTTCAGCTGCTGCCAAGAGCTCTCCCCCGGTGTATTCAGAGAAAGAGCATGACCAGGGAGGCTTGTTCCAGGTAAACTTATTTCCTTCAGACTTTAAGTATTTGGCTTTTACCTTCCTTGAAATGCAGCTATTGTTATTTCTCTTAACCAGACAGCTAACAGCTAGCCTGCTTCTGTTTCAGCGTGTGGTGTTCCCAGTGGAGGCCAGCCTGAACAGACTCCTCTGGAATCGCTCCATTTCACCCAACAGCCTATTGGAGACGAGCATCAGTGAGGAGGTGCGACCCAGAGATCTGGAGGAGGAGGAGGCAACTCAAAGTCTTGGTCCCCTGCTCCCCCCCACCACCACTTCCCGCAGACACACTCTGGCTGAGGTGTCAGCCCGTTTCCACCAGTGCAACCCTCCATGTAAGTATTCCAGTCAGATGTACAAATACTACACTACGTCAACACCCAGAGTCTAATTCCTGCCCTAATCTGTTGCCGTAGGTATTGTGGTCAGCCCTTCAGACGGTGCCTCTTCTGACAGCTGTCTCAAGTCCTCATCCAGTCCAGCCCCCATTTTGCAGGCTGCTATGGGTGATATGTCAACACTTCTGGCCTCTGGGGCTAAAGGTGGAGCACTGCTGCCTGCTGGAACTCCCCTGGCCCTGTCCTCTCACCTCCTGCCTCAGGCCCAGGGCAGCCTGCCTGCTGCGAGCTTCCAAGAGGGTCGCAGAGCATCTGATACCTCCCTCACGCAAGGTACAAGAGCGTGACCATGAAATGGATTAAGTGTCAACTTTCCAAGCTAATTTTCATTTCTCACATGTCTAATATGTTAAAATACAGGGTCAAAGAGTATTGTGTAACTCTTTCCCATTCCTTTCCACAGGCCTCAAAGCTTTCCGCCAGCAGCTGAGGAAAAACACACGCACCAAAGGGCTACTGGGATTAAATAAGATTAAGGGTCTGACAAGACAAGTCGCTCCTCCACCCTCCTGCAACCGCGGCAGCCGAGGGTCAATTGGTCCGGCTCTCTCAGAGCACCGCAGCATGTTAGTGGAGGTGCTGCACCAGCAAAGGTGAGGCAAGCTATCTAAGAGGAAGTTATTAAATTCTATCTAAAGAGTGGAGATCTGAAGATTTCAAACTGAAAGAGAGACTCTGAGAGAAATAAGACTTATTTCTGTGATGTCTTCTTTCCAGGATGCTACAGATCCAGCACCAACCCCAGCCTCAAGTCCAAGCTGCTCAGACAGGTCCTACCCAGAATCCTCTGCTCTTTCTGGCCCAGAACCAGTCAACTTCTCCTCCACCTACTACCCCATTTGCTTCCTCCTCCATCTTTGACACCCCAAGTCCTCCTACCCTTCCTACTCAGCAGACTCCAGTGGGTCTACAGCAAGGTCCCTGGCAACAAACCCTGGAGACCACATCCTCTTCCTCTTGCTGCTCCTCATCCTCCTCATCCTGCTTCTCCTCATCACTCTCCCCCGTGGCCTCTGCTGCTTATCTTCTGGAGGCACGTCTGCACATCAGCCAGCAAACCCACCCTCACCCCACCACCGGCCTCCACCCACAGTCCCACTCTGCAGCACAAGGCCCCTTCCCTGTTGTATCCAAACCAGCAGTGTGGAGCACAGACCCTGACATGCAGGAGTTGTGTATGGCGGCACAGCAGCAGCTCAGCAGCTGCGTGATGGTGAAATAAAATGTGAGCCCTCAAGACCAGCGATTGTTCTCCTTGAAGTAGACACCCAGCAAAAATTCTGACTTGATGTGGAGAAGGAAAAAAAAAACAGAAGAAAGAACAAGAAGAAGACGCAAGAGAAACCTTATTCAACAACATGTTGTACACATGTGAGAATGTGAGAGCACACATGTATGTTGTATACGCTTTTGATATCATATAAGCTAAAGACTAAGCAATAACCAAACTCTGGACACGGTATTGAAGCTGTATCAGACAGCCTGAAAAGCAATAATAGACTGAAAGACTCTCATCCAGCTCTTTGTTGGACTCACTTGAATGAATGGAGAGCTGATGTAAGCTGATACAACGTTGTCACCTGTTTTTATGCTGTCTAAGTCAGTGTGTAGGTCTTTTTTTATTACAGGAAGCCTCCCTCTTCCTCAAATTTTGAAGTGTCATTTCCTGTTCTTGATTTTTTTTCACTTGACTGGACACAAGACCAAAATCCCCTTTTTTTCTATCTTTTATTCAGACTTCGTTCGCCTTTCTGAAGAGACATTTCTCTGTAGCAGTGCAATGAACATACAGCATAGTGCCCTAAGCTTGCAGATTCTCACTGAAGGAGTTGCTTTTGATCTGTATCAAAACTGTGATTTTTTTTTTCTGTACAACAATAGTTTAGTTACGCAAATGCTGCTTTTACCTCATGCCGCAAAAAGACTGCTACAGAACATCCTCATCAGCCAAAACCGAAGGAAGAAAGTGTATCGCTGATTGAGCAAAGCACAACAGGTACTTTAGTCAGCTTAGTGCATGCGTGGATACATGTGTCTGTATTCTTTGCGTTTGAGAAGCTCTCCTTTTAGACGCTTTTCGCTACCTCCTCGGGCGAGTGATTGAAAACAGAGAAACCTGTAAAAGTTCACTAACAACACGTTATAGGATGTCAGAGGTTGACAACTTTCAGAACAAAGACAGTGGGAACAGTGCAATATTTCACATTGAAATACAAATGAAAGTCTCTATATATGGTGATCAAATTGTACACGCATATAAGCCTGAGGTTTTTTTTTTTTTTATTGTTTGCTGTGTGAGCTAGCAACTAGAATAGGTACAAGTGAAGTAACATATTAACATGATACTGTAGAACATGAGAGGAAATGCATTTTGAGAAGCTGTATCTTCTAGCATGCTTGTTGTTGTTCAACTGAGTGGAAGAATTTGGGTTTTACCAAAGAGCGGACAGCACAAGAGATGGGTGATCTATCACAGACACACTACTGACTTTTCACTTTAAAATGCTGTCTCAAAATGTAGCACGGTGGTTCGCTAGCATTTTCACTTGATCTCCTTAGCTCTTGCTGTGAGAAGACTCCTGCTGCCACCAAATCCTAAAGCTACACATGTTGTTTTTATCTATAGGTTTTACTATCAAGACCATGGTGGTGTTCATTTTTATACTTTTCTAGAAAAGAAGAACAAAATTGAAAAAAAAAAAAAAAAAATCAGTGCATAGCAATACCATGTTGTGCTGGATGTTGACTTTGCTTTGGTTGTCCATGGGTGGTGAGAAATAGAAAGAACCTGCAACAATCTGCTTTAGAGTCTGCAGGATGGGTGTAATACTGTAAACATAGTCCTCTCATTTACTGCTACATCTTTTAAAATATCAGTGTTTTTCCAAACCCAGTTTTAATTTGGAAACACGCAGGGTTGATATTTCTATCCAACAGCTTTTGGGTTGGCTGCACTCACTACCAACACTTGTGCCTTTATCTGAACAAACCTGTGATCAGAGGTCTCCATCTCTGAAAACTACACTGAAGAAAGGAAGACGAATGGCTCAGTCACTTGTCATTCAGTCAGACGGCCCCTTTGTTATCTTCTCTGATTCTCTCTCTTTGCTGAATCTGACCTTTGAATTTGCTGTGGAAACAGAAGCAAGAATTGCACTTTATTCATATTTCCGATTAATGATTTTTTTTTTGTTCCTCATGATGAAAAAAAAAAACATCACAAGACTATTGAAACACTAGACATTTAATGCAAATCTCTAAGTTGACCCTTTTTGATAAACTTTGGATAATAAGAAGTATTTCATTTACATTTTTTGTTTGTTACTTGACTTTGTGAACATGTCTGTGTGTATGAGTGTGTGTGTGTGTGTGTGTGTGTGTGTGAAAGCGATAAGAGAAGGAAAAAGAAAAAGCCTGTTAGACATGAAAGACTGTTTATTTATGTGGCTATTTATTTAAATAAAGTTCACTTCCTAAACTCTGGTTTGTTTCTATTTTTTGAGATTCATTTTCTGACATCTTAACTATGAAAAACTTTACTTTGACAGCTCTTCAATGGACTTAAATTCAGGGTTCTGATTGAAAAGAATTATTTAGGATCGTCCCCTTCTGAAGGATTTGAGTTTACAGATTTCAACGTAAAGGACTGTAGAAATGCTAGAGTTAAATTAATTATTACTGAAAATATCAAACTTAATCCATTTTATTTGGGTTTAAATGTAAGGCAAACATTTTAATCTCCTCATTATCAGGTGCCATGCTAAATAAATCTCAGCTCTCCCAGTCAAAATAGAAAATCTTACAAAAGACCTCAGTAGTTATTGATCTCAATGACATGCACTATTTGCCAGGACTGGGAATCAATCCTCTGACCAGTGTGTCAAGGTCTGTGACCTTTGTAGCCACTATGGTGTTCAGGCTCTACTAACTGAGCTACACAGGCGCTCTGTTTGAATTATTTTTTTTAAACTTTTTTGGTATTAATTTCAATCTTTGGCTTACAGCTGCACCTGCACTTCTACACCACTGTAGTTTTGGCCCTTATTAAGAGAATGCTTTGGTTAACTTCTTCAATATATTCTCACAGGTCTGCAGTGATTCACATACTCTAAAATAGCCCTCGGCTGGCGTTTTGTGATGTTGCCAATGGTCACATTAGCTCGCAGTTCACCCATACACTTAGCATTGAACTCAAAGTAACCTAAAAGTACTTTGGTAACTTTACTCCAATTGATTTCTTTGACTTGTCAACTGAGCTGTCTGGGAGTTTGTTGTAGTTAAATATGCCTAACAAAAGCCCAAACAAAATTAAGAAAATACATGTCAATTTTAGACCCAGTTGCACTGTTGTGATTGACGTGTCACTGCTCACAGTCCTATTATATGTAAAGTACACCATTATTAAATACTTTCAGACATCAACAAGCCCTTTAAGTATTGGATTCGTCTCATGGCTTTTTGATTAAGTCGTTGGGTTGAATTATTTTGTCCTGGAGAGTCTTAACACGAATGATGCAGGAGCAGAAAGTGCTGGCATGAGCTGACCACATTTTGCTGAACAAATCACTTCTAATTATGTCTCATCCCTCTCTACTACCTGATAACCAGCCGCACTGATGATGCACTGGCACCCTGTGATAATGCCGTGATGCAGAGTGATGATGCACTAGACTCTGATGACCTTCTCGCTGCAGGACGATTATTCACAGAACCAAGAACAGACAGGTGTCTGGCGTCTGATGGGCAGAGGCTACGAGGGAATCAAGTGACGCAGCGGCAGAATGAGAAGCCAAACAGTCTATGAGCCACATGAACAGAGCTGCTCTCCTCTGGCTGCTGGTTCGTTGTTTCCACTTAGAAAGAAGATCTGAATTCTTGTAAGGACTGAATGTTTCACTGTCTGTTCCAAACATACAAACCTGTTGAGCCACTGCTCCTGACCAACACTGATTTACACCGCAGGGAGCCTCTTCACTGGTACATACACACTCCAGCAACCGCACACCTAACATATGGCCTGACATTTGGCATATGAACCACAGGCAGTTGCTCATGAGGCCTCAGCATGAAAGGCTCGCCGTGTATTTAATGTCTAGCCTCTGCAAACAAATCCATCATCAGCTGTTGCCTGCTGCAGACATGACCTTGTATTAACTAACAAGCCTTTTGTAACACGCTCTCAACAGCACCGTGCGACTATTTGATTTATAGATTTGTGTATGTGCAAGTGAGTATGCTGTTGTTGTGGCATAATTCAAAGTTGAAACCGAGCCCAGACTGTGACATTAAACAGAAAACAGACAACTGAAAACAACTTAATTTGAAGTTTTTAGAGTTTATAAAAAAATAACAGAACAACAGAAAAGAAATGAGCAAGAAACAGAGTGTACAACAATACAGAAAACACATGTGGGTTTTCTTTTTGTTTCTTTTTAAGATTCAAATGGAGATTATTGAAATCACAAGACATCAACAACCTGCTCAGAGGTTGTTTTTGATTTTCCAGAAACATTATAAACTTTCATGGTGCTAGACCAATTAATTTACTGATCAACAGCCCATACCAGATACAATCAAAAGTTGGCCTCTGATCTTCTAAATATGTAAACATATCTATTCAGTTGAGCCAGTTTAGCCATCACTTTTTACATAGTCAGTCCACAAGAAATTTAAAAGTTCAAATTAGGGCATTTCATAGTCTTCATTTTAAAGCCACTCTATGCAATTTTGATTAGTGACCCCTTTGGATAAACTTGGTTTTTCTGGAATGAAGACACCTTATGTCATAAAGATGTGGCAAAAACCCAAATAAGTGGACCAAAGATAATCTTTTTAACAGTACTTTTCTTTGTCCAATATAACTTGTTTTGCATAGGTACTGTATCAGAGTTACTAACCACAGTCTGAGAGACCCTGAACTCCATCATGCCGTTGGTTTCTCTGGATTGCTGCTGGAGACGTTTTACTGCCATGGACCTGCCTGCTTTCCAGATGCTTCCACTACATGTATCAGTCTCACACTGTCCATCTCTCTCTCTTTCTGCATCTTTCTCTATCAGTCTCACGGATGACTGTCTAATATGAGTTGGGTTCTACTCAAGGTTTCTGCCTGTTAAAGGAAGTTTTTTAAAAATTTGTTGTGACTTGGGGCTGTATATATAAAGACTGATTGATTAATGGATTGATATTGATTTGTGGCTACTTAAACTTATTTACTGTAATGTATGACCTATATAACTTTGTAAACAATACCCCGATTTGATGCCTTTGTTACCTGTTACATTCCTGCTGCCATGATGCGTCCTCTGGTGTCTTTATACATGTTCTTTTAATATGAGCAGTGAAAAGATATACTGATCTGAACCAGTAACCCATTTTAGTGTTAAAGATAAGATCGCTCTAGTCCCTGGATAAACCCTGACTCAGTTGAATGTCATCCAATCCAGCTGGGATTGCTTTGTTTTTGTACAAACTGTGCTCAATGTGTTCAATCTCACAGGATTATGAGGTTACCTCGTAGCATTGTACAGAAAGCGTCAGCTCACTGCAAAGTAACAATGTCTGACGGGGCTATTTGAAGTCTTCACCTCTGAAATGAGGTCACGTCAGCTTAAAATGACAAAGGGAAAACATTCTGAAACACTACGTGCTCTGTACAATAGAGTTTATGTACAGTACTTTGGCTGCAAGACAAGTTTCACCTCATATGACCACATGACAGCACCTGTGCTGCAATGCTAGCATTGGCAAGCAGTAGCATAAGCAGCACCCTATATTAAACACTTTTATAGCCGTGACATGGCAGAGCTTATGGTTATCACACCATTAACAGCTCGCTTTGTTGCTAAAGTTCACAATCCTTTTGTGCTGTTTGATGTGATGACTGTGTGACAAGATCTCTAAGTTAAACCCGAGCAACAAGATACAGAGGCACAACCTTTCTGAGACTGACAGAAATGTTTCTCAGATTGAAAAAACAGATGTATGGTTTACAAAAATCTTGTATTGTTGGGGCTATAGCTTCAAATAAAAATGAAGTATACTGTCAATTTCTTCTCTATAATCGAACACAGAAACCCTACAGCTGTGTCTCAGTCCAGGGGTAGATTCTACGAAGGATCAAGTCTTTGTTGATGACTGCTCCAGCTGAGCTGAAAGAAGATGTCTGGTCTACAGAGGAAACTCATCTGTGTCACATACTGTCCCAGCTTTTACACTTGTGTAACATGGCAATGCTCCTGGCAACAAGTAGCTAGCTGGCTAACTAGCAAACATGGCTAGCATGGCATAACTAAATACGCCATTTCAAAAACAAGTTCAAGTCATCCATCTTTTTTAACATTTGTGTCACTCTGAGCTCCATTGAGTTGAAACCAAAGCCAACGATGCACTACTCAATGGCTATAGTGAGTCAGCCGCCACCTATTAACTGGCAGGCATCGAATCACGGAATGTGTCGGGCCTGGAAAAGTAGGACACATTTGAAGGAGCCTTGACACGGGACAGCCTACGACACACTGCTGTGATGCAGCAGATCTCTAAATTCACTCCTCACAGGGTGCAGCCCCTGAACTGACACCACTCACAACATTTACTTTTCCCACTTCTATTTACACATACAGTGGCAGACAACATATTTCACATAACCTTGGCCTAGATTTTTGCCAAAGTTGAAGCTCTTGGATGACTTTGAGAATGATTTTCTACACGTTTCTCTGAATAAAGGAAAGAAGGTCTGGATAATGTCCGTTTGATTCACTCTTTGCTTCCACATAGCCGTAATTACACTGCATACATACAAGAGATACCGAAAGTGGGTATGAAACTTTAGTTCAACGTAGCAGATCTTGTTCTTGTAATTAAAGCAAGTAAAAAAGAAAAACGAAACAACAGGGGACCTGGATTGGAACTTTGTTGTACTCCGTAGGAAACTTTTAATTAAAAGAATTCTGGACATAAAAAAAAGGCTAACAAATCAAGACAAACACAAGAGACGCCTCTTGGCTTGCCTTGTGGGAAGCTGCGGTTAAAAATAAACATACATTGAAACCTGATGTAGTTGCATAACATCATGAGCGAATGTTTTCATGTGTAATCACATTGCAGAGATGATGCCTCCTGTTGTCCTTTAAATTGTGCTTGTGCACAGTTGTCCTTGGACATACCAGTGATTGTCAAGCATTAGTGTCCACCTCAGCAACAGATATGTAGAGATTATTCACTGTGAGTCTGCAAAGCTGGCTGCATATCTGTGCATGTAAATTGAGCTAAAGTTTTGGGATAGTTTTGAGCAGGTCACCATGTTCACTAAGAGAGGACACAGTGTGGACAGTACATGTTGTCCCTCAGCTCTCGATGCCACTCAACTAACTTCGAGCAGAACAGGAAACACAGGAATGGAAAGAGAGAGAGCAGTGGTCGAAAACCATCTCATACACTGGTCATGTAGTACAATACAATAAAAAGAAAACATATCTGAAATA